ACCAGCAGGGCGTGGTGATGTGAACCAAGAATCCCAGCACTCAGGAGGCCCAGGCAGGAGGACCACTGCAAGTTCAAGAGCAGCCTGACCTACAAAGTGAGCTCAAGGCCAACCTGAGCTGCACAGCAAGACCCTGCCTCAAAAAGACAAAACAAAAACCCCTGAACGTTGGTGATGGTGCTGACATCACCCACCCCCCATACACTCACCACAAAGTCCGCAGCCTGCAGTCCCTGCACCCCAGGCCCTGGCAGAGCAGCCGCAGGCCGGCGTCCCCCAGGGGGTTGCCTGTCAGGTCCAGCTCCACCAGGTGCGCACTCTCTCGGAGCACCTCTGCGATCTCCCCGCAGGCCCCGGCCTCCAGCCCGCACTTCCTCAGCCTGTGGGGACGGCAGAGGTCACACGCGGCCTTCTCCAATGGTCCTTGTCCCTTCTCTATCTCCCTAGATCTGGGGACTTGAGCCAGGACCCAAAGAGCACCCATGTTTCAGCCCACAAGGTCCTCACATAAAAATGGCATTAGCAGGCTGCAAGTCAGCCCCCAGCACGCGGAGAGGCTGAGGCAGGAGGACTGCAAATCCAAGCCCCAAGCAGGGTAACTCAGCAATGTAGGAGTCCCTGCCTGGAGGATGGATTCCAGGGTGACTGCAGGTCACTGAAACTACAGAGAGGGATAAGACTGCCATTTCTAGCACAGGGCATTCTGTCTAGCGGGTAGGTTGGCACACATCAATCTTCCCAGCACTCTGGAGGCCAAGGCAGGCGGACTGCTGTAAGTTTGGCACTAGCCTGGGCTATACAGCAAGACATTGTCTCAAATCCATCCATCCATCCATCCATCCATCCATCCATCCATCCATCCATCCATCCACCCAGGGCCGCAGCTCAGGGCCATGCAAGGACTCAAGGTGCCCCTCAAGCTGAACAGGGCTTCACTCCGAGTAATGAGATGCAAGTGGCAAGGGGGGAAAGGGACTCCAGAATTAGAACCTCCTCTTCTTCTAAATTTTTGTATATTCCTTTTTTTTTTTTTTTTTTTCTTTTT